TTGCAAGTCTAGTCATTGTTTGTGGGCAAGCAAAATTTATTTTAGTTTGTGGAAACTTAATTTCATGGGTTATTCATTTATGCAATAGAATCAATGAATCAATGTTTACAAAAAAAATTGTTCATGGGGGTGTAAATTCTAGGGTAAGGGTGACCCATGAAATCAATGAACATTAGTCCTCTGCGAACAATGTTGATTCCACATTATACGTGAAGGATTAGATATGGTAAATAAAAAAAGTGTGTTGTTGCATATATCCTATTCATTTATTGGTTTCATTATTTTAAAAAAGGCCCCTTAGAATATATTAATGGTCCATTAATTTTAAAAATGGCGCAGTAAAAATATTGACTTGACTAGACAGGTGGAGCACCTGTCACATTGACTTTCATAGCCTTCCCAATCACTGCATTTACTTTTTTTTTTAATTTTAAGGACTTCTACAGATATGAAATTAATAGTACTTAGTTGCATCAGTTTTGCTTATTTGAAATGTATGTTATATACATTTAGTAGCCAAAAAAGGGCTTAATGATGCATCAGAGATTCATACAATGTGTTAGGAGTGATATATAATTTTTTTTTTACTTTTTTCCCCCACAGCAAAAAAACTCCGCACTGAAGATATAATTGTGCGTCTTCTCGGAAAAACTGAAGATGTTGACAAGTTATTGAGGTATAGACGACTGATCCGGCAAGACAAATCATTCTTAAAGGACTACGAATCTGCTTTGGCTAAAATACAAACCCAAATAAGTAAAAAACAAAGAGAATTGAAACAAAGTCATCCAAACTCACAAGACACTATGCATGCAGAAGAACTCTTGCAGCACTGGGGGGTTTATTACAGTTAGAAACAGATACAAGTCTTAAAGTTACAGTTTAGATGTTGAACATTCCTTCTTTTTGAAAATTGATTTTGTCACAAATTTTGCATGTAAACTCATTAATTGCAGTGATCCTGCACTCACTGAACAATTCGGCCACAGTTTCTTTTATTTAAGTCTGCCGATATAATAGCTAATGCCTATCATGTTGGTTGGTAGTGAACTTATCTGAACATCTTTGCATTACAGAATGTTAACGTTTACATTCAGGGTTGGATTAATAATGCCTAAATTCTAGGGCTGTCACAGTTAAAATATTTTTCGGGTCAGTTCGGTTCTGAAAATTTTTTATTCGATTTCGGATTTTTCTGTTTTGATTATTTGCACCTATTTTAGACCTTAATTTCATGGATAAAAAATTGATTAATCTTTTTTTGTTACATTAAATTCACTTTCAAAACAAGTCTTAAACATGTAAATCCCTTGACGCCTGTGTTTAGGGAAATAGGCAGACTATTATCTACAACATAACCACTCTTGCAGATTCTAAGATATAAATCAGACCCGTACCGAAATCTGGAAAAATGAAACCGAAACCAAACTGAACAACTTGGACTGTGGTTTTCGGTTATTTTGGGTAACATTGACAGCCCTACTAAATTCCCCATCATTCATCTTTTTTTCATCTTCTCAATTTAAATAATGAAGAAAATGTTGTTTTTTTAAATTCTGTTTTTATTGTATATTAAATCTTATTATTGCTATACTTCAGTATATTTAAGGAAATAAAATTGTTCAGAAAAAATATATACACTATGAAAATAATTTTCTTTATAAAGTTTCAATTAAGAAATGAATTTAATTTTTGAAGATTTATGAGGACATGAACTACGATGCTTCACGCCGACATATTTCATGAAGCGTGTTTGTGCTTCATGATAAATATGCCGGCATGAAGCGTTGTAGTTCATGCACCTCATGAATTTTCAAAAATTAAATTCATTTCTTATATTTACATTATTTTTCTGACGAGAATCCACAGTCATGTCATTCAACTGTCATTTTTTAAGCAAAACAGTTTGCGCTATAGTTTTGACATCACGTACGATATTATGATGTAACAATTGAGATATTCATGCTCATCCTTGGTAGTTCATGAGAAACTGAACCGTCTTCTTCTATGCAAAGAATCTTATTAATAAAGAAAAATATTTGGGAATGTAAATATTCATTCATGAATAAAAACTAAATAAGTTCATCTGTTTGATATGCTGCCTGTTGACCCTTTTCTACCTAAATTTGAATTTAATATTAAACAACATATGTATATATATAGTTTTTAAAGTGTTAAAAAAAAAATAGAGGTAGTTAGTCATTTCCTTGAAGAGATAAGTGTACTCTCCCAAAATTTTTTAGGTTAAATTTGTTCCTGAAAATAAAGTAAATTTTTTATTCAATTTTTTTTTTACAAATGTTGTGTAAACAGGTGACAAATGCTGTGAATGCATATATCATTCTTGTAGACTACAAAAACTGTATGGTATCATGAAAAAAGAAGCAAGTGAAAGAAATACTCTTAATACAATTTTGTAATATTTTTGCTTTCTTGGGTAGTGTGCTTGTACCTTCATTTCTGTCATCAAAATGCAAAAGCTTCATTTTATTTTTATTTCTCCGACTGACCCTAATTTTTAAAAAAAAATTCCATAAACCAAGAAATTAAAAAAACTGCAGCCTTATTTTGGGTATTATACACGAATTCAATGAATTCCACTTGTATATTTTGCTTTTCATCTTATATTTTCTTAACAAAAATGTAATCAACAATCTCCCATCAGGGACTTTTTTATTACATAATCGATTCTCTAATTCACCTCAAAATAGAGAAAAATATTGGTACTTGAAATTATTCACTTTTCTTGTTTAATCAGCAATGTAAAACAAATTAAATCTCAACTGTATGTGTAGAATGAATGTTGGATTAAATCCTGGCAACACTAAATCATGCTGTTTTTGTTTTCTGACAATGAATTTTTAATTAAGAAATAAGGTATCATTTTTAAATATCTAATCGGGATATATTACATCTATTATGGTAAATTATGGTAAATTTGATCTCGTAACAACCTGTATTTATACCCCGATAGATGTTTTAAAATGATACCTTATTACTTATATAAATTTACATTTGTGACTTATTATATTTTACAGTTGCCTGATTACAATCTTTAATGTGTGAATGTTTTATTTTTCAAACTCAACAGTAAGTGTGTGATCCATTGCTTGCGTGTTGACCCTTTATGACGTCACTGAGAAATTACGTCAGACATTTATGACGTGAGGAACCCATATTTATACATACATAGATAGGCATTGCTTTTAATAGTGTTATATAAAAGAAAACATTTGCAACTGTAAATTTAAAGTTCTGTTCTTTCAGACACTGTTTTCTATATAAATCATAGTACGAAATATTTTGAAATGGACTATTTATGACCTTCACTGGAACTTCTCAGTGTTTATTGTTTAACCGAATAGGACATTGCTACGAAAAATCAAAACCTTTATGTTTTGTTGGATTTAAACCTTTTAACGATATGAAACAAAAGTTTGATAGTGATAGGGACTTAAAAACAAGTGGTCGAAGTCCGAGCAAGCTTGTGTGACACTAGTCTGAAATTCGTAGAGAGGTCAGATAAAATTTTTAGTCTCTCAGAATCTCTCTGAGATCACCTGAAGGGGTGTTGAGATAATCAAGAAGGGAAGCATGCCCAACCCAATGCTGCAATATTATAAACCTGCATGTTAATTCAACTGGCAGTGACTTGTTGAACAATCTATCTCAACATGCTCAATACAGGTGTGGGGAAAGATGTATTTTTTTGCATGTTAGGTCAGGTCTAGTGCTTTACTGAACAAAGCTAGTCGAAATTGGAGGAAGTAGCCCATCTGGTCTAGTACTCGTTGACCTAAGCATATTCTGAACCAGAATTTGCTAAATGAAAATATTTACATCATAGAGAACCAAACCGAAAAAAATTTGCTCATCGAGGGTAAACAAATCAACATTTGAACATACTGGCTTTTAGCCAAAGTTATGCCATAAACTACTTCTGCATCGAATTTCTCTCAAAACTGAAAATAATCTGACGATGTATGTACACGTGTGGTCCGTAGGACAAACTCATTTAGACAGACTTGATAGAATGCATGTTTTACCTAGTAGTAGTACACGTGCTCCCACGGACAACATTGCTTTTAACACTTAAATAACGAAACAAACAGCATAAAAAAACAAAAAGAATAAAGTATCACTTTTAATATACATACCTGAAATTAATCCTCTCACCATTCCGATGACATAAACTATGCCTTCTTGTCCCGAGCACCTGTTCAAAAAAATCCTGACCATGCTCTCCGCGATCAAGCTTTCGACTGAAGCCGATCACCAATTGGGCATGCGCGAAAAACAATAACGTGTTTCTCTTTCATCGAGAAAAACATGATGCATAATTAATAAATTCCCGGAAAAAGGTTTTTATTGCTAAGTATTTGATACATTGGAATAATTACAGCCATGAAAAAAGAGAATCATGCATTAGTTTATAAATGTCAGTGAAAACATATGTATAACTGTGTATGCAGACTGCAGCGGAGTTCTCATTGTGACGTCACAGTGCAACATTTTCGCGGATTTTTAGCTCCCCAAATTCTATATGCTTCCTTAACACCCCCGCGATATGCAAATTTATGTACAAATATCTCGTCCTACCATAACATAAAGAAATGTAAATTATTGATCACCTCATATCGTGGTTTGGCATAACCACAAAAATTACCCCCAAAAAAGATTAACTGTCAATTATGAAACCACAATACGTTATATATAGCTAGTCAAACATCTGCCGAGATCCCTGTTCTCTGTTGGAATAGTCATCAATCTTCTTAATCCAGTAAAAAAAATGAATCCTGAGCAGGACAAAAAGACAGACCCCTGGAAACACCATAGATGGGATCAGGTGCCTAGGAGGAGTAAGCATCCCCTGTCAACCGGTCACACCCACCGTGAACCCTATGTATTTATCAGTGTATATTCTATTTTCAAGGAAGAACGGCTAAAAAGTGGCAAATCATTTTAAATGTTATGCAATACAAAGTAGACATCATGGAAAAAAAGGTTTATTTGTGCTGAACAGTTAAACAACTCAGTTCACAGTCTTCTTTGGTCAGGAAATTATTGTTATTTCCACAACATCCCCCGAAGCGAAACATCTCACACTGACCGGAAGCTATGTTATACCACCAGCGAGGAATGGCGGCTATGCAAGGTCCGGGAATTCTGGGTAATTGACAGATTGAATTGAGTGGAGGGGGATCTTTAAATAAACATTGCATGAAAACAAATTAATATTGTTTTGTAAGCTTTCAGATTTAGCAATTTTGTTAAAATGATAAATATATATAATTCATTTTTACTCCAAACTTTTTTACTGAACAGTCTTTATGAATGCTAATGAGTAAAGATGTTAATTTTTTTTTCATAAAAAAGCAAAATTTATTTGATTATTTTTTTTTATTTTATATTTATTACTATCTTAAGAATTCATTTACTAAATGTATCTGACATTCAAAAAGCATTATTGCTACCTTACAACATTTTTTTAGAAACTGTGGTTGTACATGCAATTGTACGCTCAATCCAAAACAAATGTTTTTCTTTCCATCGATCCATCCATCCATCTTAATATACATGCATGTAACTATCTACTTTCTTACTTACATAATACGATGCCATTAAAGTCTGGTTTTATACACATTGTTCTGCAACCGCAACCAAAAATACAGCATTTCTGTCCTGAAGATATAAAATGAATAGTTCAAATAATTCGGTTCTGGAAAGATTAAGTAGTACTCGATCATTCTCACTTTTGGTCATTTTTTTTCCAGGTTAGAAAAAAAGAATATCTTTAGTTCAATATTATGAAGCATGCTTATCACAAGCAGTATACTATCAATCAAACGCTACTAAATATGCCACCGTAGAAATTTTGTAAAATCTACTCACTTCCTGGGCAATCAGTATCTTTCTCGCACCATACGTTTTCTTTCTTACAGTCACATGATGTCCACAAAGAAAGTCTGGGACACACTCCAGATTTAGAAGGAAATATCTCCGGACAAAACGATCCGGAATGTATAACCGTGTTGGATATACAGAGCTAAATACAATATTTGCAGTTGATATGAGAGTAATAATAATGCATATATATATAAACATAAGATATATAAGTATACATGTTAAAATGCTCTCAAGATTTCTATGAAGACAAAATTATGTTAAATGTTTGATTTTTTGGGAAAAGAGGACTCTTAGATTGAACTGTTATGATAATCCTTTTTAGATCCATGTTAAGATAGCAACATTAGAAAGTTAAAGGTAATACATTATACACCAATATAATATCATGTTGATTTTGGAGACAGAGAACTTTTGAGGTTCTTTCAAAGTTCAGAAATATTCTTCGATGATTAATGAAATTTCTGAAGAATACCATTATTGTTTCGAACTTTTACCGTAAAAGCAGAATATTTAGGTTCGTTCAAAATTCAAGAGCACTGCAATTTCATAAACCCTGTTCTCTAATACCTACAGAAAATTAATGGAAAATTATGAAAGCACATGTGGCACAGGGTATTAGTCAACTCGCGTACACAGGGTTATTTTATTCATAAATTGATCGTAGCGCTATAACTTGACAAGACCTACCTCCATATATTTACAAGAATGAATGTCTATTTTTCAACAAATAATAAAAAAAGAAAAGAAAATAAAACATGTTGACATGAAGGAAATATAATGCATTCACAACTAAGGAAGATTAGTAATTTACTTAAATTTTTATCTTGCATCTTACCTCTAACACAAACCCCAGCAGGGAACACAGAGTTAACATCCACATTCTTGAACGAAAGAAAACATTACAACTTCGGATGCCCTCTTCTTCATAATAGGGAAACATGGGTCTTTAAATTCAATTAAGAAGAACAGATTTCTTGTTAGGTTTTTTTATTTAGTCATTAATTCTTTTCAAAGAAACTTAGCATGTACCGTTTCTGCCCCAGGAAGCTTGTCAAATTACAATAAAAAATTAAACCGACAGATGTCATAACGAGATAATTCTTTCATATATAAGAAAGGAATAAAATCCGGTTTAATTAAATAGTCTATCAAAATCATACAGTCTGTGAAAATCACTAGTGTTCAATTCTACACTTATGCAAGCATTATATGCAATCAGAATATTATTGACAAGGAAAACAATATGGTTACATTTTTTACAAAGAACTGTTCGGCTGTCTACTCTTCAATGTTGTTTTTCTTGGTTATCAATATTCTAATTCTTCGTGAAAAAGAAATGTGATGACTTTATTACAAATCCGCTGTAAAATTCTACTACTGCAATCAAGTCATTTCAACATTTGGTTGCTTGGAAACTATTGGTGGATACAGCGGCTGTTCTTGATATTTACACGAATCTTTGTAATGCTGTTGCAATATACCTCCGGTCAGGTATCCTTTGGAGAAAAAATCTTTTTTTAAGCATTCACAATAATAATGCTGATACTTTTCATGTACATATTTTTGGGAGATGAAAAGTATCTCTCAGTTGAGACCAGCCAGTTTTGTTATAACTGATCGGTTAGATTTTGTTCAATATTGGATAAGATGTTCGATCTTTTTTTTTTTCAAAAATTATCGATGTGTAAACTTATGCCTTTGTACTCATAAACTGAATAAGAGTGCGAAACATATTAATGGTAAGTTTTTAAGTACAAAGGCGTGAGTTTTCACATCGATAAATTCTGAAAATAAACGTTTAAACCTTATAATTCCTATTATTCAAGCTCAAAATGGTTTTCTCTTTGAAACCTCCATAAAATACCCTATTTCTGCACCACGTAGGAAGACATTTCATCGAAATGTGGAAATGAAACGTAATATAGATGAACATCGATAATACTCCATTTAAACTGTCAAAACGACCAACAAATTCAGCCTTTAAAATCTCATCAAATATTGTTTAAGTGAACAATTATGATCGTAAATGCAAAACATATTAGACTTCAGAAAAGTTTTCACTTTACAAAGAGGACATAAAAGTGACAAAAAGATATGCACCCATGTGAATTTCCAATAATGATGGAGAAAATTTGAAATTGATAAATAAAATATTATTAAACTAAACTGATCTATAAAGCAGTAATATGAATTCACTCATTTCAGATTATTCAGACTCGTGGTCAGATCAACATAGAATACTCCCATCTGTTACATGTAGTCCTTTGTGTCTTCAATTTAATTTTCAATTTATGTCAAGTGTTTAGTGTTTTGTAATTGTTTTGCTTAAAACAAAACAGACTAGAAATAGTGATGTGGTCAAATTTTTCACAACTCTCCGATCATGTTTTGACATTTATTTGAATTTCAAAACTGACCATTAATCCGCATAAAATGCTGAATTATTCAACAAAGTGGTATACAATTCATGGGATTATGTGCTTAATATCTTACGGGGGGAAGGGGGGTCAAAAACATTTTTCTTCGGATTTCATGGCACATATACTGCCTTTACATGTGACGTCAAGTGTGGAAAATAAACTGCTTCCTATTTCCAAATTGATGAAATTTATTATTTCATTGATAACAATTTAACTTGTCCAGATACATTCCATAAATTTTATTTTTTACGATCAACTATTAGGGGGAGAATCTGCGAGAACATGGAGGCAGTCGAATTTTTACGATAGAAAAACGGTCAAAAAAGCAGTCCTGGTTGATGAGATTTATCCATGTGTAAACTCTTTTTGGAATTTGTTCTTTCAAATAAAAACATAAGAAATTAAGAAATTTAATTAAGATTTGAAATATAAGCATTTGTTAATTATTCCATATGCTATTGAAATCACTTAATAAAAGTGACATAAAAGTAACAAAGATATGCTCTCTATCTATGTGAATATCCAATAATAATGGAAAGAAATGGAAAATGATAAATTATCAAATAAAATATTTTTATATGTTTACAGACAAGATTGCATTATATTATGGAAAATATACACAAGCATCACGCTCAAACTGCAGAAATTATTGCAAGATTGACTGTTATTGTCGATTCAATACTATTAGTGTGATCTCCCTTTCCTTATCTTGTTGGTGTAGTTTTCAGTAATTTTCTTTAGTATATATACTGTATAGCAGATTCTTAGACTAAAAAACAATATAAATAATTAAAAAATCTTATTTATAAATGATTATTCTAATTAATTATGAAGTACATTTTATCGTATTAAGTTTTTAATTGTTATTCAGATGTCTAAAGCATTTTTACCTATGACAATTTACTTGTTTCAATGTTAAAAATTTGTACGGTTTTCTCTGAGAGTAGAGAGGCATACAAGATGTCATTATCCAATATATTCTGAAATAAAATTACATTAAATAACAATTATTGATCTTAATATTAACCGAATGACAAAACCCATATACTCGTCTTAATTCTGTCATATAAAAATATACAAATGTATCTTGCTACCCAGCATGAAATATATTGAGATAACGAACAGTATTCAAGCTAAAAAGTCCATAAAACAATACAAATTTTTGAGCAGAGCAAACACGGATTTCTAAGACATCAGAGATGATGTTAGCTGCCATGAAGGAGTGAGCATCCCCTGCTGACCGGTCACACCCGCCGTGTGCTCCTTGTCATGATCGGAAAATAACAGAAAACAGAAAAATCCGTTGACAATCCAGTGTATAAATAATGGCCTATCAATTAGTATAAAAAAAAGTCAGTCAGCATTTGACTTAATGATAAATTGTATTTGCTGACAAGGTCATTGTATCGACCATAGACCTTACGAAATGACGATTTAAACGAGACTGCTGATATTCTTGTTTCATCACCCTGTTTGTCAATAACGTACCTCGCTTTAGAAACTGTTCATACGTTGAGCATGCTCTTGCGTATCGAATAAACAGAGAGATATAAACCCAATATGCAGGTGATGAAGGTATATTGCTGCATAAGTAAGGGAAAGTGACGATTGGAAAGTAAAAGTCATCACGTTTATCACGTAACTTGGTTGTTAGATTACCATTAACGTCTTTTTCTAGTAAAATATCCAAATATAAACAGATGTGTCAGACTCTGCTGTATCTTCAAAGAGTACAAAGTCGCCCGCGTGACGCAGTGGTTAGAGCATCTGCTCTAGAGTCGCGAGGTAAGGAGTTGATCCTTACATCGCGGGTTCGAATCCCACTGTTGGACGTGGAGACCGGTCCTTCGGATGAAACCGTATAAAGCGACGTCCCGTGTCGCAGTAGGTGTTGGCACGAAAAAAGACCCCTCACTGCTCAATGGCCGTAAGTGCCGAGCATAGGACAAAATTTGCAGCTCTCCTCCGGCAAGTGGTGGCGTCTCCATATGAGTGAAAAATTCTCGAGAGGGACATTAAACAACAAACAAACAAACAAACAAAAACAAAGAGTACAAATATCAAATAGTTAAAGATTCATAAGAAAGACTAAGAATAAAAAGGCTTAGGCGATTTCCAATGTTATACTTTTAGCACTAAAGGAATTCTGATTAATTTTTCTGAACCTTGCACACTGACTTATATACAAAGATACATAAGTAAAGAAAACAGCGAATAGTTCTACAGACCTAATAAGCAATAGGAATCATGAACAGTGAAAAAAGATCCCCAGAACCAGAGTTATCATCAAGTGCCTAAGAGAAGTACCTCCCTTTGTCGACAGGTCAACCCCCGTTAGCACACTTTATTCATCAGGTATATCAAATAATCCTCAGTCAAAGTTAAAAATATAAAAACATGTGTGCTAACGAAGAACCATAATCTGTGTCTATCCCAATAACAACAGATTGTTTTGAAACCTGGTCTTCGAAGATTAAATAGATGTTGCCACAGTGTAAAAGGTGAGGACTACAAACAATGATCAATCAGGGCATAAAACGGACTCTGGAAATTCCAGAGGTGTGGTCAGGTGCTTAAAACAAGAAAGCATCCCTTGTCGACAAGTTACATCATTATATGAGTCATATTAGTTGATTAGGAGTAATCCGTAGTTAAATTTAATGTACGTCACTGGTGCCTGGTGGCATGAGTAATATCTGGGAAATTTGGGGAAGTATATTTAAGAAATGAATTTATTTTTTGAAGATTCATGAGGACATGAACTACGACGCTTCATGCCGGCATATTTCATGAAGCGCGTTAGCGCTTCATGATAAATATGCCGGCGTGAAGCGTTGTAGTTCATGTACCTCATGAATCTTCAAAAATTAAATTCATTTCTTATATTTACATTATTTTTCTGATGAGTTTCCACAAGTTACGCGATTCAAATGTCATTTTTGAAGCAAAACAGTTTGCACTATAGTTTTGACGTCGAAAACGATATCATGACGTCACAATGGAGATATTCTTGCTCATCTCATGGTAGTTCATGAGAAAATGAACAATCATCTAATTTGCAAAGAATCTTAAGGAAAAATACTTGGAAATGTAAATATTTTACGTTATTAATCGTATAACTCAATGACTCAAAATAGAAAAGAAAATTAGGGTCAGTGAGCATCTTTCTAAGCTGCGGTACAACAAACTTAACCTTTTGCACTTAAGGAGGTGAAGGACCTTTGGGCTTAAAAAAATCCCGTCATTCATTTTTTTTTCATATTTTGTATATTTCTAATTAAGTATGTCCCACATATCTTAAAGCAATTAAATCATTAGGTTTCTTACCTTATTTTAGAGATATTGATTGACAAATATTATGCCTTCGAGTATCCAAGTGGAGTTTTAATTCTCCATGTTTTCGGGTCCATTACTCTGTCAATGATTGGATTTTTTAAGCATAGATAAAATATATTTAAGG